TGTTATGTTACTTTAACCCATAAATCCCTAAGCGGTCACCGGTGACCGCTTTCCACTAATATTACATTACATTATAGACCTTATTTGTAATGTTTAGAGACTACTTTTGTATGACCAAATTTAGGGGATGGATTTCAACGGGTTAATAAATACCTAAATCATTCATTCATTTAAAAAATCACAATAAATCAACACAAAAGCACAATAAATCAGATATTTCTTACATTGTTACAATCTCATGTATTATTAATTCAGTTCTCAGTTCATGGCCATTAGGATGGACAGAGCAAACCAATGATTTATTGACAATACAACTTGTATTGGTTAAATTGAAACATTGCAAGCAATAAATAATGCATGTTGTTACATCTTTGTTGTCCTATCTTAATTTCATACAGGAATATTTGTATCATACTTTGTAACAACGCACATACATACGGTAGGCAGACTATAGAACACCAATCGTTAAGATTCTTAAGTGACATGTTTACTATATACTTTCACTAATTAGGTAGGTATTTAAAATTTTTGAAAGCAGTTTTTGAACTGGAAATTAGAAGAAGAAAATCATCTTACATTATGTTGGTTAATTTCTGAAAAGGATTGCAAAGGTGTGCAATAATTAATTAAAATATATGAGTTTGTTATTGTATATCTATTACTTTATTGATGTTTTCATTTTTGGTATCTGTTTCAGTTTTGTATTGTATTTTTATTTATTTGTGTATTATATTGTATATGGGCCACAGTTGCCTGAAATAAAGGAACAACAACAACAACTATTGGGTTCAATTATTTTTTTAGATCAACAATAATTTGTTGTTTGTTATTGCTACAATAACTAGGTACCTAATTTGATAATTAAGCCAGCCCAACCATTTGTCAATTTGTAGCTAAAGTATAGAATAACATGTATATGGCGTGACCTCTATGGCAAATTCTATTTTAGCTGCAAAACTTTTAATACAATAATACAGGTATGGGACCATTGCAACAGCCAGCTACATGGTAGATGATATTAGCAACATGTTAAAATAAATTAGGTAAATTCTAAACAATAACAATGTGATTAGAGTATTTTTTTTACATGTATGTTTTAAATAGGTAAATCTTCATTTAATCTTTTCCTGGTCTATGCCATTTAACTCGTCGAGTACCGTCATTATAGACACAATTATAGAACAATAGGTTGCGGTCACCGGTGACTGCTTGGTGTTAGACAGTTTAAACTATGTGTTTGTGTAGATATTTATATGGAGTTCCATTATTCCGTTATTGATAGCTATTTAACTGTTTATAAAAGTCTGTTTGGGTACAAATACTTGAAAAACTTTGAGATTATGCATGTAAACTATGGCCTACCAACAAAGCTAAGCAAAGTTCACAAGCTTAATGTTTATAATATGTGAGTGTTTATTTTAATTTTCACGATATGTATTTTAATTTATAAGGGAAAATGAGGTTGAAGATACTGATATATCATCATCATAATCACTTAATGCCACTGTACAATGTAACACCCACTTTTCAAGATTTATGTTATGAGTCCCATGTAATAGGGGGTGAACCTATTGCCATATACCGGGCACTATTCCAGACTCCGTGCTACTACTGGGGTTTTAAAAAACCCCATAAAAAATACAGATATAATTAAGGGATAATTCTGCATTTAATACAAATAACCTCTGCTAAAAGAGATTGAATTGGTTCGCTGTCTATGTACAATATAGGACCAAATATGAAATTGAATTTATAAATTCACACATGGTACCTATAAAGGAAAATACAAATCTATACAGTGAAAAGATAAAATAATCTATTTTTAGTAATTTTCTAAATGTACATGTTTAAAGATTTTATGCATTAAATTTAAAAGATTATTCTACAACGACTACCAAATCTAACATACAAACATGTGGTATTTTCATTACACAGCAATTCATTGTGTTGCTTTATTGGCTCAACTGAAATCTCAACCTCCTTTCATAGAGGTGGCTGTATAACATGAATGCCTTTGCCTAAAACATTAGATGTAACAAAGTCCTTGAAACCCATTTCACAACATGACCAAAATAATTATTATAATGTTAAATCTATATCGAGAGTATTTAATAGACAAATCAACAAATCTAAAAATTTTGTTTCTGTTGCATTCTTATCACACTACTTGACAATAAAATTTAATTGTTTCGTAATTTGTTAGACGTAAATAGTCAGTCAATATTTATGGTCGATAAATTAGGTCAATAAACAGCCAATAATTAACCGCTAACGTTAAATTCGAACTTATTTCCTAGTAATTTACTGTAAAATAGCAATTACAAAAATTCAACACAAAATTCTAACATGTAAATTCAATAGATGACAACAAATAAAACTAATACATACATGCCATAAATGCATCTCATTCTTACACACAATCATAAATACTGACTGAAAGAGACAGAAAACACAATACAGTTACGCAAAACCATAGAACATCAAAGAGAAAAGTTACCTCCTCAACATTTCTGCGCGGGATATGAAAGAAACTTAGCAATAATTTCAATTTCACTTGCGTTTGCAAATCTGGAAAACAATCCTTGATATTTTTCAACACTTCAGCATTTAATTGGGTACAAATTGAGCCGCTTGTCCACGAATCATTCGAAATACCGAGTTTATTGTGGAGCCACAAAGATGTGTCACTATCCCGAACGTTCGCCATCTTGCAACTGAACTAGTGACGTATTCGCCATGTGTATCGTGAATATGCTTGAACCTAAGATCGATAAAAATATTTTTTCCGAAATCAATTATAAATAAAATGAGAAATGGCATTAAATATTCAGAATAAACACTTTATATTACTTTCAAGTTATAAATAAAAGTTTGATAATTTTTTTCTCTCATAAAATCATAAATTCGTTAACGACCATAAGGTACGTTTATCGATAAAAGTGAGTTTTGCTTTTTGCTCAACACTATGAAATTCATCTACTTCTCTATGCGTACTGGTATTCTCACAATGCTTACCTATATTTTTGTTCATGTGATTTTTTTGATATTTATTTATAAATATAGTTTCATAAAAATATTTGATTTGTATAAAAGTTATGCACTATTAATAATAATTTAATTATCGATCAGTGTTATAAAAGTTAATGATTTGGTTTAACGTGAATACCTGCTTAACCCTGATGATACCATAGTCCATAGACAATGAATGATTTTGTCGACGCGCCATATTTGAATCATTGTTAATTTTTACGTTTTATTGATCAAACAATTTACTATTTACTCGACGCTATAATATTCTCTAAGAATTTTTTATTTGTATTAATAATGTCGGAAGAACCGAATACACCCTTGGCTTTGAATATCTATGAAGAGGCATTAAACGAAGATACTACGTGTGATCTTTCATCTCAAGGACTAGCAGAAGTGCCCGAACTTAATAATCGATACCTCAGTGTAAGTGATGAAGATTCTAGTATTTAAATTGAATTATTTTTTTATAACATCTTACAGTTAATCCCAATGCAAAACCATATTTCCTCACATATTTACGTCCAACATGTAACTTATTTTAATAAAACTTTAAACTTATTAAAAGTTACATACTCTAAGTATGACATACATACTATAACCAATATTTAAACAATTAATCAAAACGGTGATATTAAATATGTCTTTGCTTGAATAAATCTTGCTAGGTAGTAGAACAAATCATGCTCCGGTACACTATTTATAATCCGAACAACACGCGAAATACAAGCATATTTAAGAAGATTAAGCGGCGACAAGACCCCGCGCTTCCGTCTGGCACACGCAATCCCAACATCTACAGCACTTCCGGGTGATGAACCAATCCTCGTAGTACCCTGGCTATATATTTAACTAGCGCCACATCTCTCCGCACGTCTAGTGTAGTGTACCCAACTGTCCCCAGGACGAATAAACTTGGGTACATCAATGGGAAAAATGGATAATTTTCATACAATTTCAAGTACAAAAATCTTGTGAACTGTGTGTATTTTTTCCAACATCTTAAAGCTTTTGTCCTCATGTGGATTCCAAATAATAGCACAAGTTTCAAGATGGCTTCTAACCAAGAAAAAAAGTTCCTTAATTAACTCATTCCTTGTTTTTTTTGTTTTTGGTAAACACTTTCGGCCTTTGCATTTTATCACAACGTTCTCTATACAAGGGAATTAGGGAATATCTCACTTGTGATCTATCTGTGTTTGAAAATCGGAATTCTTAATTTAATTTATAATAATTTTATTTTGTTACAGGCTCTTTATCTACAAAACAATGCGCTAACAATTTTACCAAGTGATATCTTCACTACTTTAAAATATCTCAAGTACTTGGATTTGAGAGACAACCAGCTCACTGATATCCCAGCATCCATAAAGCTACACCGCCATCTCTCGCATTTATTATTACAAAATAATAAATTGACAACACTTCCAAACGAAATGGGAACTGTTCCAAATTTGAAAGTTCTCCAATTAGGCGGGAATCCTCTCATGCACCCTCCAAGAGAAATAATAAACGCGGGAGTTTCAAGTGTGAAAAAATTTCTCAACGAACAATTTATAGATCAAATGTTTGCGAATGATGCATCATCGGACATTACGGGAGATTCGGTAAGCACTAACGGATTTTATCCTGAACACTTTAGCCAAGATGGTCGAAGTTACAATTCCGTTCTGGATGAAGCTAAATTGAAGAAAGCGATGCGTGTTCGAGTCAACGAAAGAGATTCGGACGATTCTGATGAAGAATTGTACGCGAAACTTAAAGGGAAATGTCCCAAATTAGCAAAGAGTCGGAGTACTATACCTACGCATTATCAAAGTTCCAAGTATGTGCAGCCTTCGAGCTCGGATGGGAAAATGGTATTTGAAGAGAAAATAAAGGAGAGTTACATAAAAGACTTGGCTCTGAAGAAACACAAAGACTTATTAGAATCAATGGACAAGATTTTGCAGGGGAGAAAGTGTGTTTTGTTATTGTTTTTTGTCTTTTTCCTATCCATTCCATTTTTTTGATATTTCAAATAACTAAATAATTTATTCCACTAAACTGTATAAGTGTGAAGTTAAAATTAATGCTCTTCGCATTGCACTTGCACAATTTTTTAAATCAACTTCATTATTTTAGTTATCCTTGGATGTTAATAAATCCTGACTTAAATCTTTTAGAAACCTGGAGCTCCTGAAGAATTGGCGCTCAGATTATAGAATGGGTAAATTTGCGAAAAACGGGTCTTACAAAATTGATTCGAATAACTATCCTTATGACACAAATCCAGACTGTATGTCAATGTTAAATAGAGATGAACTAGAAAAAGATTTACCGGACAAATATAGAAAGAAGTTGGTAAGGCGAAGCAAGCCTACCGTACCAAGAAAGAGTAATAATGATGTCCATTTGGCTCTGAAGATAAAGCAACTGTTCGACAATTTGGAAGCCATCGAATTGAATAGAAAAGATATGACGCCGAGAACTGAGCAAAAGATGCTGATGAACGAGATACAGAAGGTAAGGATGAAAGAAGGGTTAAAATGGAAAATCTTACATTAACGTTAGAGATATCACTACGCTTCGTCTCCCGGCCCGTGGTCTCCACTCCAGGACTTTCCTGGCCCATCTGCTGTCAGACCGTCGAGCGACGTGTCCTGCCTATTGCCACTTCAGTCTGCAGATTGCAAACGATTGCGAGCTATGTCGATATTCTATTGGGCAGGCTTCCTGCTAAGTAGACCGATGACATCGCCAGAGTTGCGGACTGCCAGTGGCTGGAGATGGCGAGATGTCGTTCGACGTAGAGGACTAAGAGGAGGCCTTTGTCCTGCAATAGAAGTTCTCCTTCAGTCCATCTGTTGATGATGATACCACTACTGTAATGAAGTTGTTACGAAAACTTCTCCGCGATTCTATTATCATGACCATATTATACAGAAGTCGAGAGATCCTCCACAATCCTCAAATTCCCAATTCCCAAAAGGCCGGTAACGCACTTGAAACGCCTCGGTGTTTCAGGTGTCCATGGGCGGCGACGATTGCTTACCATCAGGTGATCCATCTGCTCGTTTACCGGCTTATACCGTAAAAAAAAAAGTCGTCAACTGGTAAAAACATGGGCCTCCCCTAGTGACTTCGAATTGGACGATAGCATTGATACTGTGTACCTTTTCGTGAGCTTTTAATAATTCAATCCCAAACAATCTTTTTTAAAACTTTTCCCCAAAAGGCCGGTAACGCCTCTGGGTGTTCCAGGTGTCCACATTGCTTACCATCAGGTTGACAGCCTGCTCGTTTACCGGCTTTTTCCAAAAATAAATTCTCAATTACCAACGTTTGTTTCAGATCTCTGAAATAAGGCAGAAGCTAATGGAGTTATCAACGACTAACACCAAAACTGCGGAAGTCGAATAAAAATTTCAAATAAAATCTAATTTTTTAGGATATTTTGTTTTTTAAATCAAGTAACATTACTAGGAGTTTGTCGACATTTTCGAAAATAAAATACAATTTCACTTTTTTAAACTTTTTATTACCGATTTATCGTCAATATCGCCGGCTCCATAATAAAACGAATAAATAACACAATAACTGATAATTATAATTATTGCTAAAAAAACATGGTTACACACAATTTAGCTGTTTAAAAAGTACTTAGCCATTATACATAAGGGTGATAGTCGTTTGGCAACTTTTGCCAGTATACTAAACAGTATTTTAACTGGACAATGCTGACAGCGGACTTAGGAATAACTAAATATAAAGGAACATTACACTTTGTTTATTTTAATATTTATTTTAGACATATAAAACTTCCTAATTAGTGACTACAAAATTCCAAAAATCTACTATTTTCATTTATTAAAAGATGCCGAAATACAAAAGTCTCGAACGATTCGCAAAAATCGGTTTTTTATTTTTATTAATAATTAATACTGAAGCACTGAAAGTAATTGACGATACAGAACCATGAAAATATCAAACCATTCATCTTATCACTAAAGATAAAGAAAGCAAAATTAAATGCAAAATTGTGCAATAAAATACTATAGGACAATAAAATTCTGCTTAAATCATAATATAATTAATAATCATATACGTATTGTAATAATAACTAGGTATGTCTATATCCTGAACTAATTGTGATAACATAACAAATTATAGAAGTGAGATTGTCATTAAAAATAATATTCAATGATAAAAATTCTCAAATGAATTTACATTCACAAAATAACTTCCCGCCATTACACGACAGATAAACTATTCACCACAGATTCAGAATGTGACAGTCTATGATACGAAAAAAAAACAAAAGCAATACACACCGCACTAATCAATTACTAAACTCTTTTGCTTAACAAACATACAAATTAATTGTATAATTTTCATTATTTTCCATTCTGTTTTGGCAAAAAAATTGGATTTTTATCACATTTTGACTCTGATTTACAGTAACATTTCTACACACGAATGTATACAATATTTATATTGCTAAGTCGTTATAAATGTACAAAATTATAAAGCCGCTTGCTTGACAATCTACGACACTAGGACTGTCTTTACTATCTGTCCACAAAAAGGGTGCTAGAATTCTTAGTTTTAAGCTTTTCCATAAGAATGTACAAATTGAAATGACCAGCTCAAGGATAAGGATAAGAATAAGGACAGGCACAGAAATATTAGCCGCTAGTTAGTTACTGGGTTTAGTAAGGTTAGTACACATAGAAACATCATCCCAAAATTATAATATTTTTTAATCTAGTTTTATTTTCTATACAACTTTATATCATTCCAACTTAGTGGGGACAGTTCGAAATTAAAAAGCAACGGTGAGCGCGGTAATGTGATTGTTTTATGATTTGAGTAAATAATATTTCTTAAACAATGCATATATGTGAATTGATATATACAACTTTTTGATGGGGTAAGGGGCAGCAGAATGGTTAGCAGAGATCATCTGATGGTAAATGACAATTGCACCACTAGAAGATTCCCAAGTGCGTTACCATCCACTCCTGGGACCTCCGTCAAGAAGAAAATCAAAAGTATGTTATTTCTAGACGTGCAAGCATTAAGAAATACTACTTAAATGTTTAACAATGATGATGATTTTGCCTTAATAATATTACCTTATCTAGCCTTAAGTTTATCCTAGGCCATTTTAATTAATTAAACTTAATGTTTACAGTTCAATTTGACTATTACTAGTCAATCTTGAGTTATGTATAACATTTTTGTATCAATTTCAAACAACACGAAACGGATTTTTATTTCAAATAAAGAATCAAACAAGAGACATTGATCTCAGTGTTAAAAACTCAACATTTTGAAAATCACAACCTCAAAATCAAAAGGAATTTTACTTTTAAATATTCAATTCGACTGAATAAAATTTAATAGCTGCCGATTTTTAACACACATAGCACAAAGATTTGCACAGAAAAAGGTAAATGAAAGTAGATTTTAGACTCGGTTGTACAAATAAAAGAAAAATGCATTAAAATGATAACCATAAAAAAACTATTTGAAGAATAAAACAAACAAAGGTTTGCGCATAAAAACTACGCAAAATCAGAATGACTACAAGCCTCTATATAAATCGATGAAACGTAATCAAAATGAGTTCAGCAGTTTCTGAGATTACTACTATCTAACGATACATATCACAAGACACGCCGATACCTTACACAGTCACATACTCAGTCTTTACCAAAACTTGACTAGGATTGCTCCAAATTCACACGCAAAATAATAATATATTTAACATTTTAAATGTTTTTGTCATATCAATGTGACAAAAGAAAACAAGTTCATCATTATAACATCACGCCTTTTATCCTCGAAGGGGTAGATAGAGGTGTGCAATACGGCACTTAATACCACTGTACAATGTAACACCCACTTTTCACTATTTATATTATGAGTCCCATGTAATGGGGGTGAGCCTATTGCCATATACCAGGTACAATTCCAGATCTGTGCTACTACTAAGATTTTTTGAAAAAGCCCAGTAATACTTTGCCCGACCCGGGAATCGAACCCGAGACCCCTTGCCCGGCAGTCGCAATTGCGACCACTCGGCCAACGAGGCAGAAAACTAGTTCTTTGCGTAAATGTCACAAATGTGTGAGAAAATGTAAGTCCCAGCGTATATCATCTTATAAAACAGCCGTTGAAATAAATCAAGGCGACGGCAATACATTTAAAAAGTTTAATATAAAATATATTGTGTGTGCATTCATTTAAACATTCAAATTCTCCCGCGTGTACTTTTTGGAATAAAACATCTTCTAAAATATATAAAAAACTGCTTTGAATTTTACTAATCACTATTTTTACACATACTTATTAGAATTCATAAAGATTTTTAACATACAGATTGCTTGACGTACATTAAAGTGCATAGACGCTAGCAGGTCAACTTAATTCCAATACCTCAAACTGCTTAAATAGTTATTAAATTTTATTACAATACCTTAAAGTCGAAAATACAACAAAGTATAACCATTTGAAAAATCAGAAATTATATTCATAAGTACATATATATTATATGCAAATTGATCTCTACAATATTTTACTAAGTCATTAACAAATTAGTACATTAATAATTACTATTAAAATCAGAATTACTAGCTGAAAGATTCTACATTTTTACCCAACAATATAGTATGACCAACTTATGTATGCGTGCGGCAAAAACTAGAACTATTATCGATCAATATAAAATGACAGTATAAAATTTGTTTACAAAGAAACTAGCGCCGTTGTCAGAGGGCTTAGATAGAGTTTGTGTTACGCTTAACGATATCGAAATGTTACCACGTTCGGCGCTCTCACTGCCAAGCACGAATAACTATCGCATTCGTAACGTTCGGCGCGTTCGCGGCTCTGGTTGGCCGGCTCCAGCGAACCAACCAATCACGAGTGCCGAACGCGCTCGAAGTCGATACTATGATGTTATGAATGCGATAGTTATTCGTGCTTGGAACTCTGATTGATTGGTTCACTGGAGCCGGCCAATCAGAGCGCGCAAGCTTAAACTCATACAAAGCCCTCAGGTGCATAGTTAAGTTAGTTTGAATATTAATTCACATTGCTTCCATACATTTTCCTATCTACATTATTTTATAACGATGGAAGCCAGATTTTTTTAATAATTGGCAACCTTTTCCTAACATCCTAGTGCAATACAAAATCTTTTTATCCGACTGCAAATAAAGAATTATTCTATCCTTTATCATCTAGGTATCTTTTTTAAAACTCATTTTCTACACACAAGTTTTTATTATAATTGAGAATTATGATCATAAAAACGTTATAGAATGAGAAACTTCCAAGTTGGGAGTGAGAATATAGCGTATAGGCAGGCGTGCTCTATCGTTGGCCGCATTATAGCTTACTAAAAGAGTCGCCAACACGTGTCGCCAACGACGATGGTTGGCGAAGCGCGACGTTGCCGGACTTTGGCCGACATCAACGTCGCTGTGGACATCGACATATACTAATGGACACGCCTTACCCGTTGAAATCCACCCCCTAAATTTGGTCATACAAAAGTAGTCTCTAAACATTAGAAAAAAGGTCTATAATGTAATGTAATAGGTAGGTATAGAAAAAAGGTCTAAAAATATTAGTGGAAAGCGGTCACCGGTGACCGCTTGGGGATTTATGGGTTAGAGATGAGAATTATGGCACTCCGAAAGAAAGAGAGGAAACGAAGTTTCGGTCTATTTTTATCTCTGTCAAAATAGAACCGTAGTTAAGACGTTATGACCGAGAAAGAGATAGCGCTAGACCGAAAGCATAGGCCATCTCTCTCACTCTTTTTAAACCAAAAAATTACTGCAGATTATACGCGTACGGCATGTCCATTAGTATATGTCGGTGGCTGTGGACATAAGGCGCGCGTTGTCGCCTTATAATATGTCGGGCGAAGTCGGCCGGCTTCGCTTGACATGTCGATACATGTCGTGGAACATTTGTCCTAGGAGACATACTCGGACTGTAAGGTGTAGCCTTTAGAGGTCAAACGCCGATTAAAGAAAGAAAAAAAAAGAAATCGCGGTCTCTCCGTGCAACATATTAGTATAGAAGAGATGTATAGACATTATGTAATATTTTATTAAAATTTTCAACCTAATATTAAATTTATTATACGAATGTAACTTAGTTAACTTTACAGATCATGTACAAGTATTTATATTTTGAAAATAACCGTTGCTTATTTGAATCAACCACAAACAAGGTCATTACAATATACAAAAATCGTTATAAAAGTTGCCATAATGATGTTAATGTTAATAAAATGGTAGTTTTTATTTGTTGATAGAATTATTTACTTTGAATAATGATCGAATAAGTTTTAACGAGTAATTTTAACCAGACATTGGAGAAGATTTTTGGGATACAAACAAAATTTTTTGACAAAACGAAAGATTACACTGTTTTTATAATTATCGTGAGACATACTAAATTAACTAAAAATCGCACGCTGCTCATGAGAAAGAACCCCTCTGTGGTTCGAAACTAGTAGAGCTTTTTTCAGTATATTCACGTGAGTAACCCGCGATTTTTAAGTTAAAGATTACACATGTCAAGTTTATAACATTAACTTTTCTATTTACAAGAATCGATTAATGTGCATACCGTTTGTATAAAGGAGTTTGTCATACAAGCAAATACCTTCACAAGGGAACTGACCAACAGACAGCCACTTTACCTCGTACACAATCATCTGTTATAAATCCCCAAAATTAGTTCATATAAAAGTAATCTCTAAACATAGAAAATAAGGTCTATAATGGAGTTAGTGGAGAGCAGCTTGGCAATTGATCAGTTTAAATAGTTTTAAATACTTTTATAAACTATTGGTCTTTGATTTTAACAAGCGTCTTCTACGTGTGATCTTAAGACAAAGTTGTAGTACAGTTCTTATTATTGGTGTGACCTTCACAGAGTATACAAGACCTTGAGAGAGACTGAAATATGAATTAATTTCTGATGGTGGCTTTTTCGTCCGCGAGTCACTTAATGGGCCAGTAGACAACCAACAAGACCCTGTCTTGCATATGCTGAACTAGTCCTATTTCCCTGCAGACTTGGGACATGAACATGTATCCATCAGTACCACTAATAAACTAACACTATAATCTGTACATGTCACTTGTTTTTTAGCGTGTGAACTAAAGTTTTTTTTTGTTTCTTCCTTTCAATTGAAGTTTTAACTCGTCGAGTACCGGTTTTGTAGACACAATTATAGAACAATAGGTTGCGGTCACCGGTGACCGCTTGGTGTTTGACAGTTTAAGTGAAATAGTGGTTAATACCGGTAATGTAATGGTGGGTAGTGCGAGCGTGGCAGACAGCGCGCGTGCCTGCGGCGCGGTCGAGGGGGCGGGCGCTAGAAGGCGCGCGCCAGGTACAGGCGGCCCGCAGTACCGCGGTGCAGCTCCACGAAGCCGAGCTTGCTGTAAAACTGGTGCAGGTAGTGGTCTGTCGCGTTAATACATGCGTGGACGCCGCTAGCTCCTGTAAACGAAGAAATTTTTATATTACATATTGAGGCATATAAGTAAGCAGGCGGGCGGGTGCGAGCGGGTCGCGACAGTGGCGCAGTGTACGAGGGGTTGTAGTGTGTAGTACAGTACCGTGCGCCCGCAGCGCGGCCAGTAGACAAGTGAGCAGGCGGGCGGGTGCGAGCGGGTCGCGACAGTGGCGCAGTGTACGAGGGGTTGTAGTGTGTAGTACAGTACCGTGCGCCCGCAGCGCGGCCAGTAGACAAGTGAGCAGGCGGGCGGGTGCGAGCGGGTCGCGACAGTGGCGCAGTGTACGAGGGGTTGTAGTGTGTAGTACAGTACCGTGCGCCCGCAGCGCGGCCAGTAGACAAGTGAGCAGGCGGGCGGGTGCGAGCGGGTCGCGACAGTGGCGCAGTGTACGAGGGGTTGTAGTGTGTAGTACAGTACCGTGCGCCCGCAGCGCGGCCAGTAGACAAGTGAGCAGGCGGGCGGGTGCGAGCGGGTCGCGACAGTGGCGCAGTGTACGAGGGGTTGTAGTGTGTAGTACAGTACCGTGCGCCCGCAGCGCGGCCAGTAGACAAGTGAGCAGGCGGGCGGGTGCGAGCGGGTCGCGACAGTGGCGCAGTGTACGAGGGGTTGTAGTGTGTAGTACAGTACCGTGCGCCCGCAGCGCGGCCAGTAGACAAGTGAGCAGGCGGGCGGGTGCGAGCGGGTCGCGACAGTGGCGCAGTGTACGAGGGGTTGTAGTGTGTAGTACAGTACCGTGCGCCCGCAGCGCGGCCAGTAGACAAGTGAGCAGGCGGGCGGGTGCGAGCGGGTCGCGACAGTGGCGCAGTGTACGAGGGGTTGTAGTGTGTAGTACAGTACCGTGCGCCCGCAGCGCGGCCAGTAGACAAGTGAGCAGGCGGGCGGGTGCGAGCGGGTCGCGACAGTGGCGCAGTGTACGAGGGGTTGTAGTGTGTAGTACAGTACCGTGCGCCCGCAGCGCGGCCAGTAGACAAGTGAGCAGGCGGGCGGGTGCGAGCGGGTCGCGACAGTGGCGCAGTGTACGAGGGGTTGTAGTGTGTAGTACAGTACCGTGCGCCCGCAGCGCGGCCAGTAGACAAGTGAGCAGGCGGGCGGGTGCGAGCGGGTCGCGACAGTGGCGCAGTGTACGAGGGGTTGTAGTGTGTAGTACAGTACCGTGCGCCCGCAGCGCGGCCAGTAGACAAGTGAGCAGGCGGGCGGGTGCGAGCGGGTCGCGACAGTGGCGCAGTGTACGAGGGGTTGTAGTGTGTAGTACAGTACCGTGCGCCCGCAGCGCGGCCAGTAGACAAGTGAGCAGGCGGGCGGGTGCGAGCGGGTCGCGACAGTGGCGCAGTGTACGAGGGGTTGTAGTGTGTAGTACAGTACCGTGCGCCCGCAGCGCGGCCAGTAGACAAGTGAGCAGGCGGGCGGGTGCGAGCGGGTCGCGACAGTGGCGCAGTGTACGAGGGGTTGTAGTGTGTAGTACAGTACCGTGCGCCCGCAGCGCGGCCAGTAGACAAGTGAGCAGGCGGGCGGGTGCGAGCGGGTCGCGACAGTGGCGCAGTGTACGAGGGGTTGTAGTGTGTAGTACAGTACCGTGCGCCCGCAGCGCGGCCAGTAGACAAGTGAGCAGGCGGGCGGGTGCGAGCGGGTCGCGACAGTGGCGCAGTGTACGAGGGGTTGTAGTGTGTAGTACAGTACCGTGCGCCCGCAGCGCGGCCAGTAGACAAGTGAGCAGGCGGGCGGGTGCGAGCGGGTCGCGACAGTGGCGCAGTGTACGAGGGGTTGTAGTGTGTAGTACAGTACCGTGCGCCCGCAGCGCGGCCAGTAGACAAGTGAGCAGGCGGGCGGGTGCGAGCGGGTCGCGACAGTGGCGCAGTGTACGAGGGGTTGTAGTGTGTAGTACAGTACCGTGCGCCCGCAGCGCGGCCAGTAGACAAGTGAGCAGGCGGGCGGGTGCGAGCGGGTCGCGACAGTGGCGCAGTGTACGAGGGGTTGTAGTGTGTAGTACAGTACCGTGCGCCCGCAGCGCGGCCAGTAGACAAGTGAGCAGGCGGGCGGGTGCGAGCGGGTCGCGACAGTGGCGCAGTGTACGAGGGGTTGTAGTGTGTAGTACAGTACCGTGCGCCCGCAGCGCGGCCAGTAGACAAGTGAGCAGGCGGGCGGGTGCGAGCGGGTCGCGACAGTGGCGCAGTGTACGAGGGGTTGTAGTGTGTAGTACAGTACCGTGCGCCCGCAGCGCGGCCAGTAGACAAGTGAGCAGGCGGGCGGGTGCGAGCGGGTCGCGACAGTGGCGCAGTGTACGAGGGGTTGTAGTGTGTAGTACAGTACCGTGCGCCCGCAGCGCGGCCAGTAGACAAGTGAGCAGGCGGGCGGGTGCGAGCGGGTCGCGACAGTGGCGCAGTGTACGAGGGGTTGTAGTGTGTAGTACAGTACCGTGCGCCCGCAGCGCGGCCAGTAGACAAGTGAGCAGGCGGGCGGGTGCGAGCGGGTCGCGACAGTGGCGCAGTGTACGAGGGGTTGTAGTGTGTAGTACAGTACCGTGCGCCCGCAGCGCGGCCAGTAGACAAGTGAGTAGGCGGGCGGGTGCGAGCGGGTCGCGACAGTGGCGCAGGACGCAGCACGACAGTAGCGCGGGGTGTGCGCGGGCCACGCCGTCCGGCGCCACGCACGCCGCGCCGAACTGGTGGAAGTGGCGGACGCACTCCTACACGGACAACGAAACAGAATTTAAATATTTCTTGACTTTGTAGTAAATGGTGAAGCGAAAAACGTGAGGGAGCGGTCCTCCTCTCGCCCCAATCGTCGCAGGAGACACTCCGGGAGCCGGGGATCGCGAGACGATCCCCGGCCACGGGCGTGTATACTCAAAGAGCCACCAGACAATCACGACAATCACATATGAGGCCCAATGGGTGCTAACGTCTTTGGCTCGCTAGATAGCGCAAATGGCGCGTCCAATCACAGCAGCTGTCAAATGCGTAACGTCCAATGGTGTTAGACTAATTTCTTATTGAATTGACACACTCGCTAGTGTGTGCCTCTCGTTCTTCGCTCATTTTCACTTCGCAAAAATGCGGTAAGCCAAATGACACGGAATCATAACAGAGTGAACCGTCTCTCAGTCGAAAACCCGCAAAATACTTTATTGAGCCCTATCACAAAAATTCTATGTTTGTCAGCTGCGGCGTCGGTGGCGGATTGAGTAGCGACAGTCGTCAAAACACGACAAAAAATATTTTTCTGTCTACTTCTCTCGACTTACTTCCGATTAGTAACTTATCTAACTACAGTTAATACTTTAATCTACAGCTAGCATAATAGTAGTCCAGCCCATGAAGGGATTTCGGCAGTTACTCGAGCGCGTCAGATTAACATATGGGGAAAACCTAGTGTCATGTTGAATATACCCACCATATATCCGATCTGATTAGATGGGGAGGCCTAAAAATTAAAAAAAAAGTCTGACTAAATAAAGTCAGTTTCGTCAGATTAAGGGAAGGTAGGTCAAACCATGGGTTCTCGTTTGTACTCTCCAGAACACTGAACCCACCATGCAAACCGGCAGATTAAGAGTTTTTTATTATTAAACTGTCAAACACCGGTGCCAGTCGCCGGTGACCGCAACCTATTGTTCTATAATTGTGTCTATAATGACGGTACTCGACGAGTTAAATACACATGGAGCATGTACACTATCAATATCTGACACGCTCGACCACTAGAACAAAAGTTACGCTTAACAATTTCAAAGATCTATAGATTCCCCCTTCCCCCACCGGTGGAAGAAATTGTCACTAAACCATTTTTTCTTTCTATCAGCATATCTTCAAAATCCAGTAGGTCCCAACGACGCTCAAGTAAATCCAAATTTAGCATCGTCTATAAGATTCTGTACAAAGATATCGTCATTCAGTCACAAAGTGATAGATTATATTTCGAATTTTCGACTGATCACATTATATGAAAAAAATATACGCTCATCTGACGTATAGTCCATCACTTTACAAAGTCGACAGTTTCCTTTCTTCAATGGATTATGGTAACTATAAAGTAGATGAGTCTTGTGCCTACAGCCCTAGATTATAAGTATGATGTCATTTGTCTAGAGTATAAGGCATAGGTGTATTCCTAAATATATTAGTATCGATTTGTGCATCCTAATAAACGCACGTATATTGGCCTACTGTTTTATTGATACTCACCTAAGAAAGTACATCATACATACTTTGGACAGCAAGTGCACATTGGAGTATAAGGAAGATTAAAGAGTATAAGGAATGTGCACTTGCTGTCCAAAGTATGTATGATGTACTTTCTTAGGTGAGTATCAATAAAACAGTAGGCCAATATACGTGCGTTTATTAGGATGCACAAATCGATACTAATATATTTAGGAATACACCTATGCCTTATACTCTAGACAAATGACATCATACTTATAATCTAGGGCTGTAGGCACAGTCTCCCACCAGGAGTTAACGGCAAAAAAAAATACTGACGTTTGGACGACTACCACTACTCAAACCACCACTGGTACCACAACTGATGCTCATGAAGCTTCATGACACAACCCCTAGAAGCAGCCCGCAAGTTTTCGACTGAGAGAAAATAGCTAATAAAAATTAGTGCCTGGCAATATGGATATATTGTGGTTTGATATGGTGTTCCTGTGCCCGGCGTACAGTGGCGCGCAATTTGAAGTTAGGAATTGTGACAAAAATATGAATCACTAGCTGTTGCCCGCGACTTCGTCCGCGTAGAATAATGACTTCTGGCAGAATTTAGGCTTTTGAATTAGTTTTTATCACGGGATATTCTACGGTAATGGATGTCGTCAGAATTGATTCAGTCCCGTAGATGATAGCGTGATAATATGTAGCCTATATGTTTACCAGACTTGTTAGTAATATTCATGCAAAATTTGAAATAGTAGTGCAGTACTTTTTGAGATCATCACGGCCATACATACAGACAAACAGACAAAAATTCTAAAAACCACATTATTGGCTTCGGTATCGATTAGAGATCACGCTTCAAATATTCTTTTAAAAAATATTCAATGTACAGTTTTGACTTTTCTACGATTTATTATATGTGTAGATAGCTTTGCCTGCGACTTCGTCCGCGTAGATTAATGACTTCTGACAGAATTAACCAGAATCAATTCAGTGCCCAAGTAAGATTTACCTATTTTGAAATGATTTATCGAAGTTTCAATAAATAAATAATCCCGCAGGGATCTTACCAGTACAGTGCCCGATCACGTAAGGTTTGAGTAATAAAAACTATTCTATCGACTATTGTTGTACCGAATCTCTCTAGAATAAGTTCAGTGGTTAAGAGTTAGAGAGTCCTGGGGCATTGACGCATAGTTCCCGTTCTCGTGAGACATCTGTGAAAAAACTATCATACGTTACCCAGGTCCCAAATCATCGTTTTACCGAATGTAATTCAAAAAGATTCAATGATTCTAAATTCAACGGCTAAGAAGATTTATACAAACTCTCATTCCCTATTTTATCCCCTTAGGGGTGGAATTTATCAAAATCCTTTCTAAAGAGATACCTATGTCATAGTAACTTTATGCATGCAAAGTCTCAGCCCGATCAATTTAAAACTGGCAAAGTATCATACTTTGGGGTGAGAATGTTCAAAAACCTTTCTAAAGGGACGTTTACGTCATAATATCCATCTGCACGCCGAATTTCAACCCGATCGGTGTAAAACTGACAAAGCCTCACACAAACGTTCATCCCCTATTTTACCCCCTTGGTGGAAATTATCAAAATCCTTTCAAAGCGGATGCTTACGTCATAACATCTATCTGCATGCCAAATTACAACCCGATCGGTTTAAAACTGACAAAGTCTCATACAAACTTTCATCCCCTTTTTTACCCCCTTGGGGGTGGAAATTATCAAAATCCTTTCACAGCGGATGCTTACGTCATAACATCTATCTGCATGCCAAATTACAACCCGATCGGTTTAAAACTGACAAAGTCTCATACAAACTTTCATCCCCTTTTTTACCCCCTTGGGGGTGGAAATTATCAAAATCCTTTCTTAGCGAATGCCTACGTCATAACATCTATCTGTATGCCAAATTTTAGCCCAATCTGTCCAGCGGTTTGGGCTGTGCGTTGATAGATCACTATGTCAGTCAGTCAATCAGTCAGTCAGTCAATCACCTTTGAATTTTATATATATAGATTTGAATAAAAACACCAAAGTAAAATGTTTGACACCAGCTCCTTTCAACGCTTTCAAGATTTCCATATGGAAATCTCAGTCTGGACTCATATATATGAGCCCATAGACAATTTTGTTTGTAATGTCATTCTAGATAATATTTTCCATAAATTATCGACTGCCGCCAGAAAAAAGAAAGGCACCAATTTTAGTCAATGCCCTTTAATGGATGTACTCGAATCTGAACGAAGTCACTCAAACTTAAACAATGAAAGACTGCAGTGCAAATGCGTATGTATAAAATTAACGAATGCGTTCAAAATTAAGTTGCATAATTGGGTACTTGCCAACGAGTCAAATTCAATACTTTTTTCGAACTGTCAAAAACGACAGTTTTTTTATGAATTTTGTACGAGATTGTGTATTGTGACGTCACTTTTTTTAGCGTCAAACAACATAAGGAAAAATACTAAAATTAAGTTGGTCATTAATGAAAGTGTGATTATTTTTTTATATTTTATTGTATTCAACAGTCGAAATAATTTATTTTTGATTAAGACAAATACCCAATTACCCTTATAGAGCTAGAAATGTGTTTTGTACCTTATGGAGCTGCGAAAAACACATTAACTTAAAAGATTTACTTGTACTACGTACCTTGGCAGCCTGACTAAGGTCCTGTCTCTCAGTGAGTTGTTCCGGGTACTTGTTACACATCTCAGGTATCCAGGCGACCTCCTGTCGCTTGTAGAACTCCTTGCTGTTCAGCACTGCGCAGGCGTAGCCTACTATCTCGGGTTTCACACCTGGTCAAATATACTCAAAGTTTATAGCATTTATTTCAACAAAAAAAAAATCCGACTTCATTCCACTTCATGAAGTTGGTTTTTTAATATACTAAAACGTTCTCGTAATTGTAAGAAACATTTTTCTGGAAATCGCATCGAAATCGGTTCAACCAATCACGAAATAATCGCGCACAAACATACATACAGGTCAAACTGACAACTTTTTTTGAAGTCGGTTAAAAAGCAATCATGTTTGTCCAAAGATCTAGTCAAGGGGTCACAAACAAAGTCAAGGTCCGAGGGAATAGGTTGCTTAAGAGGCGACGTGCTAGATCGTAGGTCGCATCATTGCTTAGCACCAGGCGAGGTAGAGGACTCACGTTGACCCATCAAATATATATATAAAAAAGAACACTATATGCAAGACAACTACATGTGTTTACATATTAAATAGAGAGAAAATTATTTACACCTATAAACAAGGTGCCATACCTTGTGATAAAGTAATAAATGACAATAATATGTCTATGACTATGATATCAACGCAAATATTATATTGTAATTATGAAAATTATTATGGTGACTTTAATTTGAAATATTTGTATTTTGCACGCTTGCTCGCAGGCAGAATACAATGACATTGAGGCTGTAAGATCTTCCTTTGTAAATATGTATTCTTGCGAATAAATGAATTTGAATTTTAATAAATCTTTTCAAAACTATTAAATAGTTAAGTACTACTATCAATCGTTATTGAAAACTTGTCACTTTATCAGCAACAGCCCGTAAGTCAAGAGAAGCCCGCGGAGAAGGTTTGAGCAATAACTGCCACGTTAGCTTACTGCGGGTTGGTGATTTCAAACATACTAGTATAATTAGAAATTATAAGTCCAGGTTTCAAATTATATTTTGTATCGACCCCATACTTGATTTAATTATTTAAGGAACAGTGAGTAAAGTTCAGTGTTCAACAGTGCGTGTTCGTACATGGTGGGCTTTCTGCCCAACAGTAGCTCGTAGGGATTTTCTATCTATCTTAATTTGTATGTAAACTTCACATGTACTTCAGGATTTGTGACGTCATCCGTTTTTTTACTCGTCGATCGTCTGTCATTCATTTGTGTTATGTACAACTATACACCACACCACCACAAGTATCAACTATAGTAACTTACCGTTGACTCTAGGTTCAGTGGTTCGTTTTTCATCATCGTCCCCTGAAGGGTCCACCTCCTGCGGCATGCACTCCTCGTCATCTTCTATCACCATGCATAGTTCGGGGTATAGTGTCAGGAATGGGGCTACTAGCCTGGTAACAAATATTAGTGCTTTAACTCGTCGAGTACCGGTTTTGCAGACACAATTATAGAACAATAGGTTGCGGTCACCGGTGACCGCTTGGTGTTTGACAGTTTAAACAATAAATTGGGGATGACTTCCATTTTGTTCATGGTTTTGGTTTAGCTTGTTTGGAACTAGGCAAGGTCATCCGAGTAGTTTTTAAGTTTGATTTATTACAGATATAAAGTAAAAAAAAACATCTCTAGTAATTTATTTTATAAAAAGATAATTTAAAAACAAAAATTAAAGGATGATCAATGCTCATTGCATAACCACGTGACAACATAAAGAAAGTGAACAATAGGTTTTACTCAATTCAATAAAAAAATTAATAATATGTATACCTGTCAGCTGGTAAAGTTTGCAGATCGCTAGGAAAGAGGTCACTGCAGTCAGATCCATCGCGACACGTCTTGTGGCATATCGCGCATACCTAACACAGATAAAACAAAAAATACATTGAAAAATTAAGCTTATACAAAGAACGATACCCTTCCTTCAGTCGGATAAAAATGACAATCTTTTGAAATGTTAAAATTCAAAGGCTAAGGTTCATGAACCGAGTTTATACCGCGCCCGCCGCCATTGCAGGCCCGCAGCCTTTGTATAATACAGATATGTACGTAAAATTTTTTAAATTAAATCACATTTCACGTCGCGTTTCACGCCCGCGGCACTTGCAATTGTTTTCTCCCGCTGTACCGCTCTGCAATCGGTTGGCGGGCGATTGCAAAGAAAGAAAAATGGTTTAATTGCACACCGTCACAAAGTACACACAAAAAATTAAACAGTGAAGACGGGGAAAAAAGGCCAGTGCTCAGCTTAAATGCCGTGTGCTATAATATGTAATACAAAGGGACTGCCGGTCTGGAACTCAAGAGATAGTTTAACCGCCCAAGTCTTACGATAATTAACCGCCAAGTTTGCGGGCGATAATTGGAACCGCTGGGCGGCTGCGGGGCCGCAAAGAACTGCGGTTGAAAATAAATCTCCTATTTCGACACAGCGGCGGGCGCGGTAGAAAATCGCGTCGTAAGTCCGTAGCGTAAATAGGCGTCTAGCGATAAAACTACAAAATTAAAAACCAACTTTAAATTCCAGTATTTAAACTACATTCTTCAAGGTCTATTTTATCAAAGCTTTTATTACATACATATTCCAAAAAGACTCACCGCTTCTTCATCAGCAGCTGAATAAGGTCTAATCGTCAGTGGTAGTATAGTTGGAGGAGGTAACGTCCTCAACGCATCGCTGGTACATTCCACTGGTAACAATCTTCTCAAATCTGCTGTAAGTCCACCTCGGAAGACCCAGGGCTCTTGAGCACCACTTTCAAAAGCCTCACGCCAGCCTTTCGAGAACCCTGTGTGATATACATAGTTACAGCATAGTTTAGTTAGATGACCGGTCTTCAAATTCAATTTTTTTTTATTGTGAATCACAGTTTTTACAAAACACAGGTCTTAATTATATACAATTAAGTAGATTAGCCATGTCTCGCCATTTGGGCATACAATAGTCAGAACAAACTCAATCAAAAAATGATTAAATATCATATAAAATACAAAATGGGCACACATCGAACAGGCTACTGAACACATCATGACTGAGAGATAAAGATAAAGATAAAGATAGACTCTTTTTAATTCTTTTAAGATTCGTAATTATTCTTCTTAAGAGGGGTTACAAGTATGAATGTTTTAAAAGGTCTTTAGTAGATGGTAAACGCCTCACGCCAGCCTTTCGAGAACCCTGTCTGTGTTTTAAAGATGGTTTGTGGTGGATAATAAAATATAACTTACATGTGTAGCTTCCTTGAGTGTTATTCGCAATGTTTTGAGGATATTTGCCGAGTTCTGTAAAAGAAAATAATAGTTTATATATGCAGAAATTACATTGTTACACATTTATCAAGTTCGTTTACAGATATTTACTAAAATATCCTTCTTGAAAATATCCATATGGATCCTTATTGTGTGTCGTAGCAAAATAAATGGTTTTTCTTTCTTTCTTTCTTTCTTTCTTTCTTTCTTAAAAAGCATTAAAGTGAGTTAAGTGTGGGAGAGCCATGCTTCGGCACAAATGGGCCGGCTCGACCGGAGTGATGCCACGGCCGAGCAGAAAACCATAGAGAAGCAACGCTTGCGTTATTTCGCGTCGTGTGAGTGAGGTTACCAGAGGTTTAATTAGGGGGTAATTCTCAATCTCCTCAATCCCAGTATCCCCCACAATCCTCAAATTCCCAATCCCCAAAAGGCCGGTAACGTACTTATAAGTTATAACGCTTCTGGTGTTTCAGATGTCGATAGGCGACGCCGATTGCTTACCATCAGGTGATCCGATCACATAAAAAGTAGAAGTCAGTTATAAAGTTAATGAAAATGACGGTGATGAAAAAGGTCATAAAGAAGTGATGATACAGGTGATAGAGAAGTAAATGATGAATGACTGTACCAAGCCACCGCAGGAACCCGTCCAGTAGCGCGAGGACGGCGCACAGTGATGATACAGGTGATAGAGAAGTAAATGATGAATGACTGTACCAAGCCACCGCAGGAACCCGTCCAGTAGCGCGAGGACGGCGCACAGCTCCCACACGTAGGGCTGCAGCTCGGCGTGCAGCTCTTGGTTCTGCGCGGCCGCCAGCCGCCGCGCCAGTCGCCGGGTGCGACACACCCACCATGCGAACCTACTTCGTCGACGACGCCATTCACTCGTCTGTATACAACAATTGTTTTCCGATCTTACTAACGCATTTGATAGTATTTACTCGATTAATGAGATAATACTAAACATTTTCTAATATTGTGATACCACATGTATATTATAGTTATGTATAGTTATGCTAAATGATAATAATGTAAAATACAATGATAGAGTACTATATCGGACAAAATGTACCTGTAACTTATAGGAGTTCCACAGGGTAGCATACTGGGTCCAATCTAATTTATAACAGCTTTTACGTTCATTTGCAATTAACCATAGAATAATTTCTTTTTTATACAACATCTTAAAATACCCCAAAATACATACCTCAGGTTTATTCCCTCTAGGCAGTAGACTCGCCGCATGCGTAGTCAACCAGTTGAAGTCATGTAACAGTCTTAGACCACGGGATCCATGTTCAAATGGCAGGTAGAAGAGATCACATAGTAATAGCAGATCATCTGCCACTAAGGCATTGGGATCTATTGAAGGATCTTCGTTGTCCACAGGCCTGGGAAAAAAGGATATTGCAATTACATGTTTGAAGGACCAGTTTAGCTTGACCTGTATTTTCGAAGAGAAAGGATTAAGAAATAGTCAATCACTACTCACTCGTCAACGGTTTCTGTGGGCTCAGCCGGTTCCACCATCATATCTGTACTGAGAGGACTATGACTCGGTTCTACTTGCATCGATCCATTCTGAAATAAAAGGTCAATTTTATTAC